AGCGAAAACCTGAATATGCGCTGCATCTGCTGCCTACTTATACTCACGCTGTGATCAGCAGCAGCTGGATGCAATAATCGCATGCCAGTGTGCATTGGCTCGTTTAGTTTACACTCGAAGTAGATTGGTCCCTCTAAGCGAGATCCCAATTCGTCGGTCCTCCGACGTGACGTCTCCGTTCCCTCCGAGACGTTCTGTTACTTGACAAACTGATATTTTCTGATGGGATCTGGCGTCCAGGGCTGGATCCTAATTATTATCTGGCGTGGAGACCCGATCTAACACTTATGTCATGCCAAAAAGACTGTTTGACATTGACTTTAAAGTGGTTCATCCATATGGTTTATTATTATTATTATTATTATTATTATTATTATTATTATTATAATGCAAAAAAATATTTTATTTTGTTTTAGTTTAATTGTATTACCCCCTTCACAGTGCTTTAACAATTTGTAAATAATTATGTCATGCCAAAAATGCCATTTCATATTGACTTTACAGTGGTCCATTCACAGAGTTTATTATTTGTATGTATGTTTATATATATATATATATATATATATATATCTCCATGCAATAGTTTAGCAATATGTACATGTCAAAATGCTGTTTCGTATTAACTTTAAATAAAAATCACTTATTGTGAATGTTTATTTTGATCAGGCAGTGAGTTTGTCCTCATCTCATGGGACACATTGGAACATGGATCACATGCCTGTGAACGAAAGGGAAGTACACACAGCAGCCTGGGAAAGGAAACAGACGTCCAGAGGCTCAGTGGCTGTCATTGCGAAAGCAAATTCCCACTCTAATTACCATCAAGAGTTTCTGTGACTGTGTGCGTCTCTCTCACAGCACAGGCTCTTAAGACACTTCATCTGATCTTCCAGCATAAGCGTGTAGTCCAACGTGTAATCTGAGGGGCTGCTCCAAAGGCAAGGTAAGCACAGATTATAATTTAGATCATAATGTGGATTTTTATTGGAAAAAACTAAATGTATTAACACTAACGGGTGGTGCGAAAGGTCATAATAAATGTCTATCTGTTAGTGAAGAGAGAATGACAAACCGCTGGACTCAACATTGACTATTATCCACGATGTGCAGATGGGTGTATACAACATCTCAACCATTAGCAATGAGATTTCATAGAAAGCAGACGTTCTCCTGTTTCTCCTAAGAAAAAGTCAAATATCTCCCATAGAGTCTCTCACATTTGCCGAAGGTTGCCAAATTCTCTTTCAGATACCAAATGATTTGAATTGCACTTGCCCGATGATTTTATAGCTTTTTACAATTAGTCTTTCAACAAATTTGTACTTTTTGTTGGAGAACCACTTGAGACAAAATTGATACTTTAATGAAATTTAACTGAGAGCTCTGTTAACTTTCCATTTTCCAAATTACCTCCTGTTAAGTCTCATGAGTTATGAAGGAGAAACCTCTGAGCAATATTTTCCTTTGGGTCGAGACTGACTTTCCAAAAGTCATTTGATAAATTCGGGTGTAATCTGAACCCTTGTTTTTGTAAATAAAAAGGTCTTTCGCACATGTTTCATAATGAAGGATGGTGGGTGTAAAAAAAAAAACTGTACAAAAGCTTACAAGTGCTTGCGGGAATAATGAGCCTTTTTGGAATATTTTGACACTTTTTGAGCCCAGCTGAGACACATGCTGCTGGAAAGATTGTTCCATTAAATCAGAGCCAAGAGAAAATGTGCATCTTGCCCATGTCAGTAAAAGTCAAGCATACTTAGAAGATATAAATCACCAAATGTGGGAGACTCATCAGAGGGGAACTCTAAACAAGAGCTCTGGAAACATGATAAAGTGAGCAAATGGACCGCAGCCATAACCATGTCAACCGAACAAAGAGACCACTTAAATATTGTGCTTTATGAGACCACCTCCTCAGCCCGCCGTGGCTTATATTTCTCATCAAGATAACGATTATCCTTCAGGCCGCTTTTGGAGAATCTGTTTGAAAGGCATTGATGCAGGCATTGTTTGGACTGTTGAACAAAAACTCGCAGGTTCTCTGCTTCTCTCAGGATTCTGCAGGGATGGAGAGAAGCAAGGCCTCTGTGACTTCTGCCCATTTCATCATGTGTTTAGCGTTCGCAGGTAATCACAACCTCACTGTATGCCTGTCTGAGAGATGCAAAAGATGCGACCTCTGTCTTCTGTGTGTAGCAAACTAATGCAATTAATTTCAGAGGAAATGGCCGTTTACAGACGTGAAATCATCCATTGTGTAAATTATACATCTTTTAGTGTCTGTCGAAATGGCTAATGCCCCTTTTGTAATGCATCTTCTGTTACTTCATCCTAGGCTTGGTGGGAGAGGGGAAGCCCTGGTTGCCGACAGAGAGGTGTAGGAAACTGCCATGTGACAAAGTCACTTTTAATGCCATTGTTTATGAAAATTGTGTTGAGCCGTTCAATCAGACCATGGCAAACACTGACTACCAACTCAGATGTCCCTGGCCAAGCACTAGAAGGTGAGACATGGATCATTATATTGGTTTCACAAAGCTAAAATACTGTATGAACCTGTTTTTTCTTTAATTCCCAAATCCTTTCTGACTTCTCCTAGAGCTTTCAAATGGGATTATTATTAACTAAAAATCTAAACGTATTATTAATTGTAATATAGTGTTGAAATAAAACAAAATATATTAATATATATGTATGTATGTATGTATGTATGTATGTATATATATATATATATATATATATATATATATGAAAAATATATAATATTAGATGAAAAAATGATTATGTTTGCCTTGAAAATTTAACAGAAATAAGTTGAAGCACTAACTTACTAACTGTATAAACAATAACAAGAAAATAAATACATAAAAAAATAAAAGCAATATTTAAAAAATCTAATAAAAATGACAAAGGCACATTAAAATATTATAAAAAATTAATCTCAAATTAAAAGGAAAACTAAAAACATAAAAAGCTAATTCAAAATGTTAATAAAGCTATAATAGTATATAAATGATATAAAAATGACACTGCTTTCATGCAATCCACCGAACACAGCACTGACATTCAGACTGTTAAAAGAAAATTTATTTATTTGATCTTTTTATTTTTGTTGTTGTATCTTATTTATTTTTATATTAGATGCCATTTATTTTATTATTTTATTGTATCTTTGTATTTTATAGTAATTGTATTATCTTCTTTTACTTTCTATTTTATTTCATTAATTTTCATTGTTATCTTTTAATTTCATCTTATTTAAAATCATCGTATTATAATTTTACATTTTATTATAAGTTTACATTTTTTTTTATTTAATCTTATTTTATATTTATTCAAGAACAGTTTTTGTCACATACAGTTATATACAGAATACAACCTGCAGTGATATCTATCTATCTATCTATCTATCTATCTATCTATCTATCTATCTATCTATCTATCTATCTATCTATCTATCTATCTATCTATCTATCTATCTATCTATCTATCTATCTATCTATCTATCTATCTATCCTTGAGCGGGACAAAAATAACACTATTCCCCCAGCCCTGATCTGAATGGCTTCTCCTCACAGAGGGTCTGTAGTCATGGGACTTCTGCTTCCCGAGGGTCTTTGTAACATCAGATTTTTATGAACAGTCACGCCAAACCCAGAGCATGACTCTACACTCTTCAATCTTCAAGACAGCTCGTCCATGTGGGTCATCTAAACCAAAATATTTAGTCCAAGTAATTGCATATCCTGATTAATAATAAACAGACTTATCAGTTGGAAAAAGGGAGGAGAAAACATTTCCCATATGTTGAAGTAAAATTAATTAACATGGTTGAGTCCATGCATTTCATGGGACTATTAATACATTTGTCAGATAAACATTAATGTTTTTAGGCCATTTCTTATAGAAACAAATGTAGTAAAAAAAAATATATATATATATATTTTAAGGAAGTTCACCCCAAAATGAACATTTGCTTAAAATGTACTCACCCTCAGGCCATTCAAAATGCAGGTGAGTTTCTTTCTTCATGAAAACAGATTGGAGAAATTCAGCATTACATCACTTGCTCACCAATGGATCCTCTGCAGTGAATGGGTGCCGTCAGAATGAGAGTCCAAACAGCTGATAAAAAGATCACAATAATCCACACTACAGTCAGTCATTAACATCTTGAGAAATGAAAAGCTGTGTGTTTGTAGGAAACAGATCCATCATTAATGTGTTTTAAATTTAAACCATCGCTTCTAGCCAAAATACCAATGCATAATAACGCTTCCACCTGTGAAAAAGTCCATCCCCTGTTGTCATCAAAATCCAACAACATATTTGATTAAAATTGCTTTGGACTGTATTTGCTTTTAAACGATGCTTAACATTAGAACCGCCAGAGTTCGCTGTATACCTAAAAGTGCCAGCGGGTAAATTTACCCATGCACATGACAACTGTATTTATATGGCTAAAGAACATATTTCACTGTATTATGCTACTATCTTCACAAAGAAGTGTCTAGAGTCATGAAATGATTATGTCTAGTCATCAACTATATTTTTGTCCTGTTGTTTTATGTTCAAGGCTGTTTTATGCAGGCTACACTAGTCACTTTTCATAACGGGCAATATTAAGCTAAACAAGCCTGCACTGACAACGAGAATTAGAAGGAAGTAAATACATATTTGGGTGGTGTAATAGGCTATTATAATACAATGTCATTAATCAATATATTAAGACAACCTATGTTATTTAAATTACTAAAATAGCCTATAGACAATAATGAGCAATAATAGGCTAATTCACCACATTGCATAGGATGATGCGATGACAAATTCAAGCGCACAGCTTCACCTAATTAATTATTAATTTGTTTAGTTATATCATTTATAATTTGAATTATACAAGAACACCACCAATAAACTTCGGGTAATCAAAAAAAAAAAAGATCAGATTTTTCTTCTTCAGGAAACAGGCAGACTAGAATAAACAGCAACATAGAAGCGAACAATAAACGATAGAAATGGCAAAACCAAAATTTTATAATTCATCAAATTAAAAAAAAAAATTTAAAACTATTTTTTAAATAGTAGCTCATCCCTGGTCATTGCGTCGCCTGCCAATGATGTCATACATAACCCCTCGATTTCCGGTTTTGTTTTGAAGAAAACATGGAAACACCAAAGACGCTTTAATATGTTATGCATTTTATTACACAGGTGACGACCGCACAGAGTAGCATTATAACAGAACTTTCAAATGTATCTAGTATGATAAAACAGCTGATTTACCCCACATACACACGACCGGAAGGAGCGGAAGCGGTCGACTGTGGCATAATAAAAGCTCCTCTGCTTTCGAGCCATGTGTCACGCTCGTTCAGCGGGCTCATTTCGCTTCGACGGCTTTCAGCCTCACCCTGCTTCATATTACGACATTAATAAGTCTTTAATACATTAGCTCATCCATGAACATGATTTCTGCCCGAGTCCCGTCGGATTGCGTCGGCTGTGGGGATGAAGACGACAACTTCCATGATTCCACACTCAGTCACGGCGTCATCAAGCTGCGCCTTTGTTTCTTCGTTTGTTTTAAATATGCTCCCTCTAGCGGCGAAAACTTACATTGTGTGCCTTTAATGTGCATATTTCTCTCCCGATTCAGACTAAACGTTTTCACTGGAGAAAGCAATAGTATAGAGCAGTGGTTCCCAACCCTGGTCCTTGAGGCACCCCAACAGTGCACATTTTGCATGTCTCCTTTCTCTGACACGCCAGTTTCAGGTCTTGGAGTCTCTACTAATGAGATGATGACCTGAATCAGGTGTGTTTGATTAAGGAGACATGCAAAACGTGCAGTGTTGGGGTGCCTCCAGGACCAGGGTTGGGAACCACTGGTATAGAGGACTTGCATTTTAGTTGGAAGCAACGGTTTGACGTTAAAATTATTTACTACAAACACACAGCTTTTCACTTCACAAGATGTTAATCGATGGACTGGAGTTATGTGGATTGTGATGTTTTTAATCAGCTGTTTGGACTCTCATTCTGACGGCACCCATTCAGAGGATCCATAGGTGAGCAAGTGATGTGATGCCAAATTTCTTTAAATCTTCTGATGAAGAAACAAACTCGTTTACATCTTGGATTTCCTAAGTGTGAGTAAATTCCCAACACATTTTCCTTTTCTATTTCATTTCTATTTTTCAAAATTGCATTTACCTGCTATTTTCTCTGGTCTCTCAGATACTACGTCAAATTGATGCTGTGCCTGGAGAATCTGGCTAACAGCACATGCTGTACAGAAGCTTCCTACAGACACTACATGCTGCTGGACATTCATAAGGTTTATTTCTCCATGTGCTCATATATGCACATGGAGGACCCAGGTATTCCCATCCTGCTGCTGCTCATCATGCCCTGTGTCATCATCCCATTCATTATACCATTCCTCTGCCAGTACTTCAAACTGCACGAGTATGGACTGCCAAACAACGACTAATGACTGGACAGTGTGTTGCATTTCAGAATGGAAAATGTGCATGAATCAAAGTATTCTTTTTTTCTGTATAGGCCTCACAATATATTTGCAATGATTTAAATTTTTTTACCATATTGTTAGATTACATGCATGCATTTGGGAGACACTTTATTCCAAGCAATTTATATTGCATTCAGGGAACAACATATTGTGTAAGTGTTCACTTATTCAGCAATTTTTTTGTACATCTTATTTGTGTATATCTTAATCATCCTAATATGCCATTTTGGTGCTCAAGCTACATTTATTATGATCAATGTTAAAAACTGTTGTGCTGCTTAATATTTTTAGTGTAACTTTTGATCAATTTACTATAAAAATTAAAACAACTCACTGAACCCAAACTTTTAAGCAACAGTGTATATATTATATCAGCTGGATGGTAGCCAAAAAAAAGTTATAAATAATAAAAAATAAATAAATATATATATAAATATATATATATATATATATATAAATATATATATATATATAAAGTGCATTAAGTTGGAGTATGATTCAGTGGGCTATATAACACTTTTAATTGTCAGGAAATGAAGTTTTGGCTCAATATACTTACCTGTTGTTCAAAAATAGCCTTAAACCTATACACCTGTTTTGTATACGTTTAAGGCTGATATTGATCAAGCAGGCTTGTTGGAACATTACATCTCCAAAGAACCCTAACATGTCTTCTAAGTAAAGAGTAATTGCTGAATTTGTTAAGTTTTAGAGGGGGTGTACTCATTTAGATGTAATGCTCCAACAAGCCTGCTTGATCAATTACCAAAGAAGAATGACAAAATTTATCTTTTCACTGATTCATAGTGGTCACTAGACATAATAATTTACACTGTCAATGCAAAGGCATTTGAAACACATAATAAATATTTATTTTGAGACAAAAACAAATTACAATTTGTACAGTGCTCTGAAAACAGTTTTTTCTTTTTACAGAATAGCAATCGGTACTGCTATTAAATATCCACATAACATCATAGTATTTTCAGTATTGCTAATGCTAAAGTAATACATCATTTTTACCATATGAACTCAAAATGTTTGTCTTATTTTCTGACAAACTACACGTCTTTATGACCAGGCAACACTTTTTGAGATCTACTAGAGGTCTTTCTGACACAGTCTAAAATGATGCAAACTCAAAAACACTACATGGAACAAAGGATTGTTTCTGTTTGTTTTTGGTGTTATCTAGGGGTCATTTTATGAGGATCTAAAATACAAAGTAAATTAGTATTGTTTGTAATAGCATGTAACAGAGGTAAGTGTTTTCCTTTGTACAATGAGTCTCAGTAGTCTTAACTGATGCATGGTTTACAACAGAGTAAAATGCTTTGTTAGAACCAAAACACTGGCTTTAGTGTTGTGTGTGTCTGTGTGCACTGCAAAATATGTTGGGTGTGAATGAGATTAATATAATCTGACTGCAAATATTTCTGATTGTCATCCATTTCATCACAATGGGAAGAAGAATGGTGTACATTTAACATTCACAACATGAAAGCAAGTGAAAGTTCAGACTTGAAGTTAAAAACTAACACATCCTTCACAACATCGGGTGGGTGGTCTGGACGATCAGGGTGGCACCATCCACCAAAACCCGACTAATTCAGACACTCATTTTGCTGTTGCACCATTCATACTACTTCCTTTTCATCCTAAAAACCACACGCAGGAAATGGCTGTTTAGTGCTGTTTATTCTCTCACATAACCAAGTTCACACAAAGTGTTTTCAAGTTTTCAACTTCTCATATAACCCTAAAATAAGAGAGGTACCAATGTCTTTGAGCTCCTCACAACTGTGTCCTTCAACTATAGAGAGCTTCTGGACGTCCACACCAGGCGAAAGTCTACCAGATAGTTGTTTGAAAACTATCACTGTGGTTGCAGACACAATAATTGACAAGAAATCTACGTCACTCCATGTACATTCACTGTGTCAATCTGTGGCTCATGAAAGGATTCAGTATTAAAACACATTTTTGTGCTTAAAGGACAACCTCTCCTAACCCGCAGGGAAATTCCATGCAAGACATATTGGTTGCTAATAAATAAGAGCAGACAAAATTGGTTAAAATACAAATAATATAAAATACAGCTGAAAGCAGCAATTATGGAAGTTGAAGCGCTGAGGAATTTTATTTACATTTGAAAAACTGGGCTACAACCACCTTCCGATCACTAGACTAGATTTTCAGCTTCTTAACTACTGAACTGATAGTCGCAGAACATTTTTTTTTAAATACAAACCCTCCATTGAGTAGCTTTTATCCAATATGCCAAATAAGCCAAACATGGAGAAAACTGGAATAAACTTGTAAGAACAGTAGCAAACTATTCAAGACATGCTATCAGTGATTTCTACCATAGTTTAGTTTTTCTGTTCTTTTATTTTTGAGGTAACAAGTTTTGTTTTGGTACCCCAAAGTGTTGAAAAGTTTACAAGAAAATTAATAATGGTAGAAACTTGCTGACTCAAGGAATCACAAGGCTAAATGGTTCAACTTCAAGCCAAATTGTTCAAATGTTATAAGCAAATACTTTTGACAAGTAAGTTGTACTGTCACCAAATCATTCAGTCAGTTATCCTTGAATGCAATGTGTAGTTCACCCAAAAACTAAAAAAAATAAATAAATAAAATAAAAATAATGTACACGCCCTCACATACACTTTTAAAAATAAAGGTGCTTCATGATGCCATAGAAGAACCTTTTTGTCTAAATGGTTCCATAAAGAACCTTTAACATCTGAAGAACCTTTCTGTTTCACAAAAGGTTCTTTGGGGCGAAAGAAGGTTCTTCAGATTATAAAAAGGTAAGAAACAGATGGATCTTTAAAGAACCTTTGACTGAATGGTTCTTTGTGGAACCAAAAATGGTTCGTCTATGGCATCGCTTGAAGAACCTTTTGAAGCACCTTTATTTTTAAGAGTGTAGTTCCAAATCTGTATGACTTTTCCTTTATCACAAAAGAAGATATTTTGAAGAAAGTTGGGAACCAAACTACACTGAGGCCGTTGACTTCCTTTGCGTCTCAAAATGTCCCACAAAATAAAGTCAAACAGGTTTGGAAGGACATGAGGGTGAGTTAATGATCACAACATCAATTTTTGGGTGAACTTCCGATTTAATTATCTGATACTTGTCAGATGCGCAGTGTGAACAGTCATGTCGGATTTCATGCGACTTTTACGTCACTCTAGATCAACATTCGTCTAAGGCCCTGTCCCAAATGGAACACTTCATGTGCACTTGCGGTCTTACGTGTCCGTTAAGTCCACGAGACCGTAGGGTGTCCCAATCGTCATTTTAGCATTCAGAAGTGTGCTCGCGAGCGCCCCCTTAGCGGCCGTTATGCGCCCTCAATCCGCACTTCTGCTGAGCCCACACTGGGGCGTCACTGCAGAACACAAGATCCAGGGGGCAAGGTTGGATCCAGATCCAACTCCTCCCACCTTACATATACCTAAACCTACCTGTCTCCACCCCTGATCCCTAAACCCACCCATCTCCACCCCTAGACCTACCCATCTCCAACCCTAAACCTATCTCCACCCCCTAGATGTGGATCCAACCCCGCCCCCTGGATCTTTGTTCTGCAGTGAGGGGCTATTGCTGGGGCGAGCTCCGCAGCAGACTTCTACCCGACAGTCTACCAAAAGTGGCATTACGTCACGAAAGTGTGGACTCAGAGGAAGACCGCAAGGTTTTAGGGTGCCATTTGGGACAGGGCCATAGTACCGCTCTGACGGGAGACACTTCAATGATTTTACAAACCCAAAGTTATCAATACAGTTGTGAAAGGTAATTAGTGGAAGTGTAATGTGTCAGAACTCATAAGAATTATAGTGACAACTCTATATACAAACAAAACATGAAGGCTCATATCATAAAAGCTTCAAAACTCTGCTGTTTTTTGTCACATCCTTGTCTTTATTTTTCATATTGCCTGCACATAATTTCGCCGGATTCAGCAGCAGATCACACTATAAATAAACGCATAATCGCTTACTTTATGTCCTCCGTCTTTACTTCCGTATGACAGAGCGCTGCGCAAATGTTGCCAAGTCCACAGTTTCCCTACGGAATTTGGCTACTTTTTCCACTGCTGCCGCAGGATGTCTATCAACTTCGTGGGTCGACGCGACCCCACTAACGCGATATTTATCCCCCCTGAACATGGTTGAGCTAGTTTTGGACTAGGTTCGAGAAGCAATTGGGCGGATTTTGTTGCGTAAACCTGGAAACCCTGTTCGTATTGTTCTTTTGCGCATGCGGGTCAGTTCAGAACCATGATCTGTTCACACTGTAAAACTGATATTGGCCACATTTAAAACAACAATGTGAAAAGCTACACAAAAAAAATCGGATCTGAAAAAAAAAATCGGAATTGAGCACTAAGGCTGCAGTGTGAACGTAGCCTATGTAATGACTGGATGAAATTTGTAAGAGGAGCAGCACAATTTATTAAAAATCCAAGATGGCGACCAATCAGCTAGGTGCTAAATAGTCTGACAAGCTCAAAATTGGTTTAAGGCTTCCAAAAACAGAAGAAAAAAAAAATGTACGAAAACCAACAAATACAATAAGGTGCGTCCAGAACTTCACTGCTTGGGCTCTCAAATGTGACACTGCTACAAAGTTGGGCCTGTATGTTCACAATCCATGGATCAAACCAATTATGTAAATAGTGCAATAGACAGATCTGTGCAACTTAGCGTTTAGTGCTAATTCACAGTGGAAGATAAAGATTGACAAATTCAAAACCTGAAAACAAGTCTCTCTGTTTCTTTTATGCTCCTTTCTGTTGCTTGGATTGTATTTACTCAGAAAAACCAAAGCAAGCCTGCAGAGATCATGTTACGGCAGTTTGAACAGCAATGGCAGTGCAATACACTTCAGACCGTCCATAAAGCAACACATATCTTCAAGATATATAAGAAACTAGTAACCCCAAGCAGACAACAGCTCTAAAAGTGCCAGAGGAGCTTCATTTTTAACCCAACAGGGAAGAAAAGTCACACGGAATATTTCTTGAATATCTCCATATTATCTTTTCTCAAGCATGATTGGCAATGAGAATAAATGGAGAAAAAAAATGGAGGAAATGCTCCAAAATTGCTCCACATTTTCCATCAGCTCTTTTCAAGACCAAATTAAGCTACACAAAAAAAATCGGATCTGAAAAAAAAAATCGGAATTGAGCACTAAGGCTGCAGTGTGAACGTAGCCTATGTAATGACTGGATGAAATTTGTAAGAGGAGCAGCACAATTTATTAAAAATCCAAGATGGCGACCAATCAGCTAGGTGCTAAATAGTCTGACAAGCTCAAAATTGGTTTAAGGCTTCCAAAAACAGAAGAAAAAAAAAATGTACGAAAACCAACAAATACAATAAGGTGCGTCCAGAACTTCACTGCTTGGGCTCTCAAATGTGACACTGCTACAAAGTTGGGCCTGTATGTTCACAATCCATGGATCAAACCAATTATGTAAATAGTGCAATAGACAGATCTGTGCAACTTAGCGTTTAGTGCTAATTCACAGTGGAAGATAAAGATTGACAAATTCAAAACCTGAAAACAAGTCTCTCTGTTTCTTTTATGCTCCTTTCTGTTGCTTGGATTGTATTTACTCAGAAAAACCAAAGCAAGCCTGCAGAGATCATGTTACGGCAGTTTGAACAGCAATGGCAGTGCAATACACTTCAGACCGTCCATAAAGCAACACATATCTTCAAGATATGTAAGAAACTAGTAACCCCAAGCAGACAACAGCTCTAAAAGTGAAAGAGGAGCTTCATTTTTAACCCAACAGGGAAGAAAAGTCACACGGAATATTTCTTGAATATCTCCATATTATCTTTTCTCAAGCATGATTGGCAATGAGAATAAATGGAGAAAAAAATGGAGGAAATGCTCCAAAATTGCTCCACATTTTCCATCAGCTCTTTTCAAGACCAAATTCAAAATTAATCCTACTTACTTCATTAATGAACAATCCTGGCTTTGGTGCACATTAGTCAGACAAAAATTATGTTTTCTGCTTTAAAATGTTTAAATTAAATGATAAATAAATTCAAGTCCAACCCTTCATTTTGTCTTATTAAAAACCCTGTTTCATCAGATACAAGTCAAACCCAAATGCCATTTTTCCATGAAACCTCACTGAGAACTCAAATCTCCTGAGCTACGAAAAGAGCCACTTCTAAGCAATAATATTTGCCTTTGGGAAGCTAACATTTGTTGCTGAAGCTAAGATCTGTTGCTTACCATGCGATGAGCCTGCCAAAGGCTTCAAACACTGGGAATCTGATTCTAAAGCATTACAGACAGCTTGTCCTCATCCAATTTCATCTTTCAGCTGCATCCCAATTGATAAATGCTGAGGGGGAAAAATTAAAAACCAACGTTCTACCCTTTTGGAGTTCGCACAGAGTTATCCGATGGCTCAACTAAGGTTACATGGTAAAACACGTCTGATCTGTGGCTTCACATTAAGTGCTTTAAAGACCTGCCATTCACAACCAAATATCTCCACTTACTGCTCTTAGGCTCGAAAGCAGCACTTAGGCTTGTGTTTTCCAAGAAACTCAACATATCTATTCAGAGTAGCACAGCACTACAAGACAGATATTTCTTTATTGCACAATTTCCTCTTGTTTTCACACTAAAAACTGGGGAAACGAGGAGCAAAAAGAAACACATGTGGAATATGTGTTTGTGATGAAATGAGCTAGTCTAGCATGACTAGGCCAAGGAGTCTGTATTACGTATAAACAAATTCAATACACGAATGGACGGCACGATGTTTACAGTCCAAAGGGCAGCTTTCTCTAAAGGTAATTGTCCGAACTCAAAACATGACTGTAATGGAACGATTCGTCCTGTTTTCAGGTCCGTATGAGGCTGTTTTGTTCACAAAGGGATAGAGATGAAGATGTTAAAGGTGAAGTGTGTAATTTCTTTTTTTCTCCAAATGGAATTGCAAACAGGTTACCTGAAAGTTCCTCCACATCTCCTATTGGTCGGTCAAACTGCTAGTCCCGCCCCAAACTCAACTCATTGGCTGATCTTGTCAGGTTGATTAGGATGCTCAAACAGAGCAATGTTTTTAATGTTGTTGCATATGAAGTTGGGTTTGGAATAAAGATTTTTTAATGTAGAAAATATTAATACACATCGCCTTTGAAGGCAAGGGAAACGTGAATTTGTTGGCTTAGCAAAGATTTTAAAAGGTCATTTGCTTCCTTTTAAAATAGCTAAAGTTTGTCGCTACTCTCCATGAACCTGACTAACAATTTGGCAGCATGTTTCATCGAAGCCAAAGTCTCTCGCTCACTGGCAGTTTGACAGCCTTTGGAAATAGCATTGTTAGCATTTATGCAATCAACCAAATCCAAGTTTCTATGGCTTTAACCTATTTCAGTTGAACTGTTCCCGAATACACTGCAGTATAACAGCATAAGGAATGGAATTAGTTCTTTGAAAAGGGTAATATTGAAAATGCGCACACAAACGCACTAATATATATAACAGCAACATAGTTGGACATTAAAACCTATATAAATTCTAAATGCTAAATTTATATATAGCAAGAAAAGCTGAGCTGCTCAAAGAAAAAAAAAGGGAATCTTCAAGGCAAATAAACCAAAACAAAATGAGATGATAATTAATACAAATAAATTAACTGATTAAAAAAATAATAATAATAATTTAAATAAAATACACTTTGAATGCAAATTTGTTTGGAATGAACCATGTACTGAGAGCTAAACAACAACTTCTGATGGAAACAAAAGAAAAAATTAAATAAAATAAAATAAACTTTTAGCAGTGAATCTGTTTGGAAAGGAAATCATGAGCTAAGTAATGTTTGTTTTTGTTTTTTTATTAAAGGTGCTGTAAGCAATGTTAGCTGTTTCGCTAACCCCCACAAGCCAAATAATTCAAAATGACTGACAGTCTGAGAGTGACATTGGTCAGGAAGCAGGGACATTTTCTGCATGCTATTCCATTAAAAAAAATCACTTATAGCACCTTTAAATGTATTGTAACTACTGCATACATCGATCAAAATAATATCACTACTGCATAAAGTACGTCTAATGGGACTGCACTACTGTTTTCAAGCACAGCAAAGGAACCGACCACTTTAAGGGCACTGAGAGGTCGTGCTACTGTAATATTCAGACTCTGTGGTCAGTGCCTACAGTAAAGTACAAGGCAACTAAGATCTACAGGCAGTAGGTCTGGACCGCATGGGTGCAGTGCATTGGGATGGGGTGAATAGGAGGTGTAAGAACCAACCTATTGGATTAGTCTCACCATCATTGCACTTTGGGAGGTCTAAGGTGCACGGGCTGTATCTAATCTCATATTCAAAGGTCACTGGGCAGCAGCAGACAAACATGTAGGCCACATTTTGGAGAAAAAGGAAAATTGTATCCAGAACATGATCTGTGGTTCTTTTTAGAATGGAGGTTTAGAAAATGTCAAAGTACACGTGAAATAATTCTGAAAGAGGGCAGTGCATCAGAGTTCTTCCCATTCCGTACATCTTTCCCATTATCCAGAGACCTGCATTCGATTGGTCAGTGAAGAAAAGGCGAGCCGTGTGACTAGACAAGCATGTGGATCTCGTTGTACTCATCCCGTCCATCTTCATCAAAATTGGGCGAATCCTCATCAGCATCCAACTGCAAGAGCAAAAACGACATTTTAAAATGAAATCAACACCAGGTGGATTTTCTCAGCTGACTGATGAACTCACCGCTGCAAGCTCTCTCTCCTCAAAGATCCTGGTCAGGATGAGTCTACGCAGAGGTACGGTCATGATTAGGATGAAGGGAAAGGCCAGAGAGGCTACTGTCGACTTCACCACCCACAGCAGGGCGATACACAGCAACTGAATGATGGTGAACATGTTCATACGCCATGTCTTCACCTGTATGTGAAACAAATCATGCCAAGAATTATAACAAGGTCTAGTGAAAAGCTTCTATTTTGCCTTATTTAAATGTAATATGTATTATTTTTGTATATTGTCAGGCACAACTTTGCTTTTTTCATACGTCTCCTAGAAATGGTGCAAATAGTTCCTATTTGTTTGATTTCTTTGTTTCAATACTTTGTTGATTTCAAGATATAAATTAGATTTTCAATACTTGATTTCCAATGTAGTCTCAGACTTTTGAACAATGCACAGTGTTCAGATTTGTCAAATGTGGTTAGTAGTTTTCATTTTTAGGGTTGTGTTAAAAAGTGCGAAATGAAATGGTGAATTGTGCGCCACCTTGTGGGTGCTTCGAAAGCTTTCAAACAGAATCCAGATGTCAATTTAGTACAAACTTGTAGCATCTACCATGTGGAAATCAAACACAAACACATATAATAAGCTGTCAGCACTGCGTTTGTAAATAACATCACTACAACCTCAAAGTCTCAGGAAAAAGTGCTTACCTTGGTAACATAGATGTGGTCAGGGTGATGTTTAGCAGGTGTGACCATGAGTGTGATTCGCTCATAAAGCTGGATACCAGTAAGAGACGTGACGCCCATGTACAGGAATATCCCAAACAGCACAGCCAGAGGAATATGACGCAGCACATCTGTCATCACTATAGACAACCCTGCACAGAGGTGATGAGATTGACAGAATCAGGAACGTTTTTCTACCTAATTTAATTGAATAGTATTCTCTGAAAAATATTAATGTCAACAAGGAAACTTGAGTGGTCTGAAATATAAAACAGATGTTGTTAATACAGCAATAAGCCACTCAAACCATGCATTACAGTAAGTTTACCATGGGTTACTATCATGTTCTTATGCACAACATGAGGCTGAGTACGAAACCCCCCTCTTAAAGAGATAGTTCACCCAAAAATGCAAATACTGTCTTTTACTCACCCTCAAGTTGTTCCGAACCAGAAGAATTATATTCTACTGACTTCCAAAGTAAGAAAATAAAAAAATACTATGAAAGTCAACGGGGACCAAAAACTGTTTGGTCACCCACTTTGGTAAAAATATCTTATTTTGTGTTAAGCAGCAGAAAGAAACTCAAACAGGTTTTGAACAACTTGAGGGTGAGTAAATGATGACCGAATATTAATTTTTAAGTGAACTATACCTTTAACCATAGTGAAATCATGGTATGCCAACCTATGTTAAGTACTTTTTTATTTTTTTTAATGTAGGAAGTTCACGATTATCAAGCAACGCAACACATTTCCGGTGTGTTCATTGTAATTGCAGGTTTTGGAGTAGTAAAAACTTCTGTCAAATTCATAATTGCAGCTGCAAGCTCTGACTTTTCCCTTTTGGCTGTTTTGACGTCATATAAAAACAAATCAAATGGCAGCAGCCTTAACAGCTAAAGGTAGTTAATTACTTCTAAACTCATTGCCATTTGATGTCATTGTATTACAGCTGATGCTACCCAGTTAATGTGATTTAAATGAATGTGTAAATGAATGTGATTAAATAGTATATTGTCATCAAAACTCAAACATGAAATCTCTTTGCTGTTATAAACATTGACATCATAACAATCTTGTGATTATAGTGATACTGACTGAAAGTGAATGCAGCACACACTGGTTTGAGGTCAGTAAGATTTTATTTATTTTTTTTAGAAATTAATACTTTTATTCAGCAAGGATTAAATTGATTAAAAAGGACAGTAAAGAGTTTAGAAAAATATATATTTCAAACAAATGCTGTTCTTTTGAACTTTTTATTTATCAAACAATCCTGGATTAAAAGTATGATTTTTTTTTTAGAGCAGCAAGTCAGCATATTACAATGATTTTTGAAGGATCATATGGCACTGAAGACTGGAGCAATGATGCTGAAAATTCAGCTTTGCATCACATGAAGTTTATATAGAATTTGTAGTCACAGGTGAATTAACACGGTTCTACACAACTGTGTTTTAGTGTTTCTTACCCACTAGGATAGACACACACATCCCTGTCACCCTCTGCTCTTTAACTTCTTGGATCATGGGCTTCTCTCCGGGGGCAATGGCTTTGCTCATGACTGTCAGTGCATTCACGTGAGTCACCGAGCGCACAGTGGCGGCAGTCAGCCAGGGCAGACCGAAGAGCGGGCAGACAGCTCCTAAAGTCACTATCAGAAGCAGGTCCAGATGAAAGCCAGAACCCTTGACCAAATGTCGCTCCTTCTTGCTTACTATCAAGCTGTAGACAGGATGAACTTGATGCAATGAGCCACAAAAGTATTGTAATTGTATTGCATTTCCATCTGAGCTCAGACAGAACGTCTCTCGAAGGATCTGTCAGCTTACTCACGTGGTGATTTGAGTCTCCATGAATATGAGGATAAAAACCAGCAGGGCCGGGATCACTGAGGCCCCCATCATCCAAACAGGGAAAGGCTGTTTATCTCCAAAGGGGCTGATAAACCAGCTCCGTTTGTCCGGAGATGTGACCGAGAAACCAGAAGGGACGTTCAGCTTCTGCAACCACAAAAAACACAAGCACTCGTTACACAAGTATTCATTGGTTACAGCGCTCTGCCAAACCTACCACACTGTAATACAGACTCTGAGAAACCTGGCTCCAATTACAGGCCAGTGCTTAATAAGAAGAGCATGCTGGGAGAGGAGCTTCTTTGTGGTAGTATACATACTGCACATGACAGTTTAACAGTGTGGTTACCTGTGTGTATGTCTCAGGGATGGTGCAGTCCACCAGCACGGAGATGAGTATAGAGATAGGAATCCCGAAATCACCAATGATTCGTCTGGCCTTTGATGATAACAGATGATACACACACAAACAGAGAATGCCAAACTTTTTAATCAGCTCAAAATGTTTGCTCACAAGAATCCTAACATGACAACAACAAAAAATCATGTTTGCAATCAGTAATTTTGTTGTTTTCCAGTAAAAACATCATTAAATTGAAATGAAATTTATTTGAGAAACAAAACTGATTCTACAACAAAAAAAGGAAGAAGAAAAAAAACCTATAAAAGATAGGTAGAGAAATGTTGATTTAATAACATTTAAATTAAATAAAAAATAAAAAAAATCAATTGATTACAAAACGTTTTTTTTTTATAACAATTACAGTATATGGCAATTATATTTGTATATATTTGCACGATCAGTATTAATATGGTCAGTATATTAGTATGGTCAAATGTTAAAAAAAAAATCACACTTTTTAGGTAATCACAATTAATCGCACCTAACATTAGATTTTGTAATCATAAATATATTTTCACATTAAATCTTCAAACAGCTGTACAAACAACAAAGATGGTATATTTTTTTATTTTATTTAATGGTAACTTTTTTAGTACATCAAAAAAGTTAACGTTTAATATGTTAAGTAAGTTTAAAAAAGTTAAGGGTAACACTTTACATTAAGGTTCCCTTAATAAAGGGTTTATAAAGGTGCTAATAAATTATTAATAACTTACAAATGCATTATAAATCATCGATAAGCAGTTATACATGCATGAGTAAAAGGGTGATTTTAATGCAATACCTGCCAAATAGTGAGCCATTTTTAACTCACATGTTATAAATGCTTAACAAATATATTTATAAATACTTATTTCACTCAAAACCAGATTCCTGATTTATTTCATGATGCAGCAAAAATTTATTATTATAGCAAGACTGAAGGGTGTTGTATTTATGGTTTTCTCATTTATATCTCATGACTCGTGTCACTTTTCTTACAATGTTTCTTACCAGAATCTACTCTGTACCTTATCCATGATTCTCCGCAAAAGTTCATGATGCCTATCCACAGCAATGATTTGAAACCGATATATTTTGTTTACCAAGATGAAATTATCATCTTGATTTTTATTTTGGGGAAAAAATAATAAATGCACACCCATGACTTGATGAGATATTAATATTGAAAATTGTAATGCCAATATTACCGGTGAACCTTAATGTAATGAGCCATTTATTAATGATTTATAAACGTTAATAACTTGTGAACATGAACCTTAGTGTAAAGTGAACATCTGTGAACCAGTTATTAATGAGTTATAACCGTTAATAACGTCTAAAAATGAACCTTAATGTAAAGTGGTCACATGTGAACCATTTATTAATGAGCTATAAACGTTAGTAACCTGTGAAAGTGAACCTTACTGTAAAGTGAACATCTGTGAACCAGTTATTAATGAGTTATAACCGTTAATAACGTCTAAAAATGAACCTTAATGTAAAGTGAACACCTGTGAACCATTTATTAATGAGCTATAAACGTTAATAACCTGCAAAAGTGAACCTTAATGTAAAGTGAACACCTGTAAACCATTTATTAATGAGCTATAATCGTTAGTAACCTGTAAAAGTGAACCTTAATTTAAAGTGAACACCTGTGAACCATTTATTATGAGCTATAAATGTTAGTAACCTGTAAAAGTGAACCTTAATGTAAAGTGAACACCTGTGAACCATTTATTAATGATCTATAAACGTTAGTAACCTGTAAAAGTGAACCTTAATGTAAAGTGAACACCTGTGAACCATTTATTAATGATCTATAAACGTTAGTAACCTGTAAAAGTGAACCTTAATGTAAAGTGAACACCTGTGAACCATTTATTAGTGAATTATAAACGTTAGTAGCATGCAAAAGTGAACCTATAGAGAGAAAAGTGTTTATTACGTTTGAAATATGGATATTTTTCTTACAAAATGGATTCATGGATTCGCTACAGGGGGCCTTTATTCATCCCCCGGAGCCGTTTGCGGCACGTTTTATTATGAATGCGCAAGCTTAATTTGACGACTTGTGGACTGTTCAACTGCAACACCCGCTGAGTGCCATTAAACAGCTTGAAAAATCAAAGACAATTTTTTTATATAACTCCGACTGGATTCGTCTGAAAGAAGAAAGTCATATACACATAGGATGCTTCGAGGGTAAGTAAAACACAAGCTAATTTTCATTTTTGGGTGAACTAACCCTTTAAAGTACACTTAAATAAAGCCATATACAGTGGTGAACATTTGAAGTGGATAAAAAAAGTTCATTAAAGTTGTCCTAAGACAAGAATGCATTTTGGTTTTAGGTTTTTTTGGTTTTCTTTTTACCAAAAGGTTTTGATTCACTTCAAATGTTGACTAGTGTAATGGCTTTGTGAGAGAAACAGACCGAAAAGTAAGATATAATTCATAGAAAATCTTGATATGGAGTTTGCAAGAAAAACAAATGATGAAAAAGTGGTTTGCTTCTCTTGATTATTTTGCTTTAAATACATTTATTTATTTTAATGATTACATTTTACTGGAAAACAAGACAAAATGCTGATTAAGCAAAGGATATTTCACTGTGCTAACAAAATAACTCCACACTACAAACCTTTCCACCAAGGAATCTGCTGTTACGAAATTTTCGCAGAAAGAAGGCCACAAAGAAGGTTCCCATCATGAGCACTAAGGACAGCAGGGCTGTGTTGGGCTGGTTGAGGATGGGTTCCCCAATCACACTAAACCCTTGAGGGTCTATGGGTTTGAAGGCAGGCAGTACAGGAGCTGTAGGGTAGCTCTTCATCAGAGGGTGCTCTTGAAACACCTGAGGAAAAATATTTTAATAAGCATAAAACTACACATACATTGGGTAAATTAATTACATCTATTAAAAAAAAAAAAAAAACACACACACACACACACACACACAATAATGAAAAAGAGTGAATGAGTGATTTTTATAAGCAAAACATCCAACAAAAATTTGATAAAAAGAGTGGTTTATGCAAAAAAGTTTGCTAATGGGTTAAGAAAATTCAATATATATTCTCTGAAAACAAATCTTATAACCTCACATATTTTTCTTCTTAAGTAAATTTAGCTTGTTTTATGGATGTTAACATCTTTTTGGACGAAAGATGAAAATACTGATTAAGTAAATACTTTTTTTTTTGGCTATAAACACAAGGCTTTAAAGGGATAGTTCAGCCAAAATTCTCATGATTTATTCATCCTCATACTTTTATGGTGTTTTGTTTGTCACAATGTTGTCATTCACCTTCATTAAACTAAAAAATAGCAGCCAGGACATTCTTTAAAAACATTTACTTTTTGTTTTCAACAGAATAATGAATAATAAGTTAAATTGAAAGAAATAAGTTAATATGGGTCATATGACAAGAGGGTGAATAAATTACAGTATTTTCATTTTCTTTTTGGGTGAACTATGCCTTTAATAGTGAAAATGTTATGACTTCTTTAATCTGTCAAGCTATTTGAGTTAATTTGTTCTCCTCTGTGAGACAAATATCCCTGCTCTCGTGTTTATTTAGCTCGACGGGTACAGCAATTTCCTTGCTTATCAATGTCCAAAAAGGCAATTTTCCATCTTCGCTTGCAATATTTGCAAAGCAAGCACACAACCCAACATGGCAGGACATCAGAATCCAAACTGCAAAACCAAACCACATTCCCTGTTCGCTCGAAGGAACACGTGCCAAAGCAATCCGTCAAAACAAATGCTAAAGACAACAGAAAAACAACATTCATCAGGGAATATTTAAACAGATTACGAACTCTAAAAATTGACCGCAGAGGCAGTCCAATGAATTAATACATGCCTTTATTGTTTTTTACAAAAGACTAATTTTGGTTTGCTCTGGGTGCTTCTATGCATCCTGAAAAAAGTGAAGAATAAAGAGTGGCTGCCCAGCTTTGTTAGACACGTCACCGCAACCGTGTCCAACGCTTGACAACGGCACACTCATTAAGCCTCATTTGAGATCTAGTTATGCTCCAGCCAAACTAAACACACAAAGAAAACAAAGAGACAAGGTGTGACATTGAATTGTATTTGAAAACATTTCCAAAAACTTGAGTAACTAATGATCTAACTTAGAGCACCTTGATGCATTTTTTCCACATTATAAAGACATATTTGTGACTAATTTGACAGGTTTTCCCATTAAAAAACTGCATGTGAGATGATGGGAAACGCTGTAGAGAGGTTTAATCTGGTTTTTGATTTCATCACGTTTAACTGTGCGTATATTTTATAGCCTGGCAAAGTGAATCCCTCTAGCTGACCAAAAATACGCATCTCTGAACAGTTCCAATGTCCCTGAAATGATATAAAAGCAGAACTGTTTTTTAAACTTTCGTTGCACCCACTGAAGAAAAGAGATGCCTAAATTTGACTGAATGGTCAGTGGGAGCAGAACGACACACGTTTTAAACTCAACAAAATGGTAAATACATATATCAAGAGCATGCTCACAGATGAAAACAACAGAGAACAAAACAGCATTGGATGAAGTGGATTAGAGCTCTGCACGGGCCTCAAATATAGGTCCTAGCCCGGCCCGTGTCCGACAGTTTATCAGAATTACCGGCCCGAGTCCGACCCGAGCCGTCTTTTTTTTCCTTCTCCCAAAACAGCTTATACTACTGTTTCAGCTATTTAAATAGTTCCGTTTTGTATGTAAGGGAAAAGTGATTATATTTCGTTTCGTTTTTTGTATAAAGTTAGAAAAACATTTGGAGCATTTTTTGTTCGTTGAATGTAAGTTTTTTTTAACCCCTTCAGACCCGAATTTTTTTTCACTCTAATGACCAAGCGGCAGACAGTGAGTTGATCAAATTATCACGACTTGCCTAAAATAAAATCTATAAATATAAAACAGTTCAAGCATATCACAAAGTTAGTTTAAATGTTTAACCTATATAAATGTGCGCTGTTAGACGCATATCCAAGCGTTTCTGTGGAGAGTGGAAGCTCAAGTGCGCTCTGCAGGACATGGAGGCGCCAGCACGATTACTTGCATTTTTTTCTAACAGTGGAAACAATTTAAAATATGCTGTCATTTTTGCTCATAAAGATAAGAGTAATACATCATTCTAAACTGTAAAGGGTCTACTTTTATTTGTGTGCACACACAATATCAACAAAATGTTGTGCTTTTATAAAACAAACAGGATGTGCTTTCTGCCGTCTTGGCCTTGAACAGGAGCGCTTCACAATGATGAATAGAAACTCAGCGAATTGCCTCACAGACATGATAAAAATATATAGAAAGCTTTAAATTACTACTTTAAAATGAAATAATTCAAATGGAAAATAGAAACTCTTTCATTATGTAATCCATAAAGATGCATTTCTCTCTAAAAGCACGTCCAATGAGGAGATGACCAGTCATTTTTTTCAACACCATAATTGATGGATGTCTAAAATATAAATATAAAGAAAGGAAAAACCTAAAACAGGCCTCATTATAATGGCATATATGTAAAACTTTGTCCTATATTTGTATAGCAGTTTATATTTTCAGATTTTTATGTTGCTCTGTTCTGAATACCTTAAAATTTTAAGGATTTGTTGCAACACAATTTTGTGTGAATTATTTATTAGCCTATTTGTTTTTTTATCCATGCAGCAAATGCTTTAAAGGGGTCATATGATGCGATTTAAATTTTTCCTTTCTCTTTGGAGTGTTACAAGCTCTTCGTGCATAAAGAAGATCTGTAAAGTTGCAAAGATACAAGGCACCACAGTATGGTAAGGGGCGTAACATTTCCGTCACACGCTTGAGGTATTCGGCCAATCACAATGCACTGGATAGCTGGCCAATCAGAGCACACCTCGCTTTTCAGACCGATGAGCTTTGTAAAAATCGACGCGTTTCAGAAAGGCAGGGCATAGAGGAGCAACAATAATGTACAGTATGTGGAAAATAATGTTTTTTGAACCTTAAACCGCATAAACACATTTAATTACACCAAATACACCAAATAATGTTCTTTTTAGCAACGTGACCCCTTTAAAAACAGCTTTAAAAATTACTTTATTGCATTCCAGACACTTTTAAAGAACTTTTCGCAATAATATTTTTCTCTTTCGGCCGAACACCGAAAATGCCATTAGGCCGAAAATTCGGTGCATCCCTAAAAATATATATATAGCATAAGCATCAAGCAATCCAATTATTCACAAAATAAGTTTCAACCACTACAAATCACAGGAAAATCAGTTAATTAAAAGTCATTGTAAAAATATATCAGGAAAAGATAGTTCAGAGAAAAGCATAATTTGTTTGTTGATTCCACTTACTTTGATAGTATGTATCTAATGCAATGACATTCACACATTTTAAAGTGTGGCTTGAGTGCCCAAAACTTTTTGGCGCTACTGTATTAATATCTTTTGTAATATTAACACAAATGGGGTTAGAAAAGGTACTGCTTCAAACTATTAATGCAGCCCAGATTTCTGTAGCGGAGGCCATGCGATATTAATTTTGTTAGTACTCAGAGTATGGTTCTGACCTCAGAGTGAGATCCAGAGGCTGAGTTGAGCTTAGCAAAGAAAACACATGGTACTTCAAAATCCTTCAAGAAAGGAGGCTGTCTGAGCCATACCAAATATTGCATTTACACAGCATTAACTTGGTTAAATAGTTAGAGCGATAATTTCCCTAAAATCAAAAACTCACCCTCATGTCATTCTGACCCAGCATTATATGTTTTTACGGTAAAAAAACAAAATTAATATGTCGAGTGCATGGCGATTTGTAACGCCAATCTCCAAAAAAGCACCTTAAAAGCACCACAAAAATAGACCATGTAACGTGTGCACTATCCTCCAAGTCTTCTGAAATCATAAGATAGCTCTGTATGAGGACGGACCATAATAAGATAACTTGCATGGTAAAAGAGCAGCTCAGATATTCTGCTTAACATCTCCTTTTGTGTTTAATAGCATTTAATAGGAATGAGTAAACATTAACAATGCTGTGGTGAACTATTCCTTTAAACACCCTCAGTATCTAATGTCTCTGCAGCTGCAATAGCAACATGTCATTAAAACCTCCAGTGGCATGAGCCTGGTGCGCTGTCATATAAAGTATATTTGTTATGTAATCACACCACTTCATTTAGCAGGAAACTAATACAGGCAGCTGTGACAAATGACATTGACATCAAGGCCCACAGCAAAGAAGATCAATATGAGCTTTGTTTGGACTATTGATTTCTGAGCTCCACTAACCTGTGTTTGAGCAGCAGGGCTCGCAGCACGTTGGCTCTGTCTTCTGCTCTGATCTGGTCCGAGATTATCATGGTTTCCACCAGCAAGTGGGCGATGCCAGGGAGTGTGGTTTGATCCAGATCTAGCATAATGGCACCTGGGTAACAGAACCCCATGTTTATGATATTGGCATATATGCGTTAAAGCTTACATAACAGAATAATGCAAAAGAAGCCAAATTATGGGATCATTCTAAAGACATATTCTCACTTCAAATGCCACAACTCAAATAATCTTCTGACGAAGTATAAATAAGTTTTTTAGGCATTTAATTATAAAACAATGTTTATATATATAAGTAATTTTAAAAGTACTAATACTAATTGCGTTACTTTTTATAAAGTAATGTGTTACTTTACTTATACTTTTTGCGCCATTTTCAAACAAATGCTCAACAAAAACAATTATCATGACATATACTGTTGCCATGATATCAAATTACTCATATTCTGATCATACCGCCTACTTCTACATGGCCACTGTACTTTTTTTCTTGTTTTTGCAAAACCTCATGTCAGTCAATCACTGTCGTCCATGAAAGAAGCCAGTGTCAGGGTTGTCATTTTGGTTCCACAACCACAGGAACTGAAACTTACCAAGACCTTCGTTCTCACTGATGTGTTTTGACTGAATTTTTTGCCATGCTTTTTTAAAACTAATGCTAATGTTTACCTTGTTACCCTGACATTGAAAATAATCTGTTTTTCATGGTCAAAAAGTGGATATGCCCAAGAGGGTTTAATCCATTTATCTAATTTAAGTGTCCAGTTGAATTCTGTCAGTCATACAGCACTGGTTTGTCAAGTGCGTGGATGTTAGGATTGGAGCAGGATCACAGGCTCTGAGTGGGCTGGCAGAGCAGCCGACTCTTACCATGTGTGATGGTCCTGCGGAGCTCCAGCAGGCTACGGAAGGACAGCGAGGCCACATGCGGTTTACCCCAGCGATCCGTCTCTGCCTCCACGTCTTCCTCAAACTTGATCCAACGTGCCGTCTCTTTCCAGCGCATCTCCTGGTTCTTATCCACTATCAGCTCATTGAGCTCCACAAACACCTACGGAGAACACGGTGTCAAACGCACATCATAAAGCACTTTTAATGAATCGTAACCAAAGTTACTTCAAGGCAATTCAGTTCACTTGGCAGCCATCTTGGAAATGCTCCCCGGGAGCTAATTTCTAGGAAATAGGCAAACAAGTAGAGCTCTGGTTGGAAGGGGAGCAAGACTGAAATATTTTGCAAACAAAGTATGACAGCGATATCATAAATCTTCTTTCGTTCCAGTATTTTTCATTCTAAAGTAAAAACACAGGTGATGGATCTATCAAAATGACTAAAAACCTTTCAAGACAGACCTACCGTGAGTTCCGAGGTTGTTATGTGATGATTTACGCTTCTACTGAAGCCACAAGTCAGTGAGATTTCAGTCAATTTCAGTTTCATGAAACAAACGTTTTATGAGGGGTTCAATACCAAATTCTCAGTGCTGAGAGCTTTGCTACCAACAAAAAGATGACAACCAATCAGAGAAGTTGTTGTTACAATGGAAGCCAGCATTAATCTTTCACTCCCATGAAGCACGGCAAATGACATAATCAAATAAGTCTTCCTTCACTCTCCAACTACTTCTATCTCCGTATATGATTAGACATTTAGTAATACAAATTATAAACATATTCAGAAAAGTTGGTATGTTTACACTTATGACTAAGTAAATCAGTTTTGTTACTGCAAGCTAAATTTAGTTTTAAACATCATTTTCATTCATTGAAATAAAGCTGAATACTTCTTGGAAGTATGAGTAAAAACTTCAACTTATACTTAAGAAATAATTATAAATGTTACCTTAGCAACTAACAAAAAAATAAATAAATAAAAATAAAATAAAAACAAAATATTTGATGAAATAAGTTTTAAGTTGACATCATAAACTACAACAGATTAAAGCAAATGAAGGCTCAATTTAAAAATATTTAAAAACAAAATCACATTCAATTACTAAAGCAAGGAACAAGTCAAATTAAAATGGAAAATATAAAAATAAAAGCTAATTCAAAATATTAAGAGATACTATAAAACCACTTAAATAATACTGAATTAAATGACTACTGAAGTAAATAATTTTTATCGTACCGAAAATTCTAATGTAATTTGCAATGGGGGAGTAGTTTATTGCCTTAATTACAACATTAAGTATCTTTTTTCCCAAATAGCTTTTACTTTGAATCCCAAGTTGCATGTTGATTCATCTCTGCTGCATGAAGAATAATTTACAGAAGGAACTGTTAAAATAAAAATTAAAAAAAGTAAAGTGCACCAAAGTGCTTAAAGAGTGTGCTCTATGGAGGACTTTTGAGACATGTTTTATGCATCTACATGAATCCTGAACTCCAGCGAGACAACTGATTCTCCTCCGCCGGTTGATTAAGAGCTTAGATCAGCAGATGCAGCCACATGAATAGCACAGACTCCAGTGCTGACTGACTAAGAGCCTTATGTAATTAATCCAGCTGATTTAGAGACACTGCTTTCACCCGTTTATTGAAGCCCACTGGATGAAACGGATCAATAGATATCAGCAAAGAAAAGATCACTGAATTTGGTGTCTCTTCTGCTCCTACACATTGATTATCTCTAATAACACCACCTCATCATCAGTATCAATGTCAGTCTGGGGAAAACAAAGGCTTTACTTTCAGCTTGGTCTTGAGGAGCAAAACAGAATCTCAAAATCAATACACGTTTTCGGCTAGTTTTTCAGTGTTTACTATATAATTGTGAGAGTCTGCCATGATATTATTTGAATAATTTTTCCACACTGTTCTATTATTGATAAATATTCTCATAAATGCCATATTAAAACATAAACTGTGTTTGGTCAGTTTACTTTAGTCTAAGTGAGCAAAAAAACTGTATGTCTGGCTGTGTGAAACTAAGTCTCATTTTTCTTTTCTCTGTGCGGTTAGGAAGCTCAACACTCACCTCATGAGTTTTCTTGTCCATCCTCTTCCTCCTCTTCAGGCTGGACAGAGGAGGTGAGCTATTGCTGGTTCGTGGTAATTGACAGCGTGATGATTTCTTGACGAGGTGACGTCTAACCCCAGGATTGTCCTCAAAACGGTGACCTTAAAGTGAAAGTGAAGAGAAAGGGTTAGGTAAATACAATAAATAGAACTGTCAGGTTTGTAAAGGCAGCTACAGATGTGGGGGACAAAATAAGGGAACCCTTGAATTTACCATGGTTGTGTGCATAAACTGGTCAAAACACACAGTTTGCAAATTGTTTAACAAATAACAGACAAGCATACATTTTTGTGTCTTTATTGAACACACTGTGTAAACATTCATAGCAGGGCTATTATCATTAACTAGAGCTATTATAAACTTTAAAACTATTATTAAAACGTTTTTGTTTAGCTGAAATAAAATCAAACTTAAACTAAATGAAAATGGGTAATGTTGCCTTGGAATAATTAGACGTAAATAAAAACTAAAACTGAACTAAAACTTTAACTGAACTAAAAATAGATTAAACCTAAATAGTAATGGAAAAATGGCAAAAGTACATAACAAAATGACTATAAATGAAACTAAAATAAACATTTAAACTGAAAATATAAAAATAATAGCCAATTCAAAAGATTAATAAAAACTATCCACACTAACCAACATACTATTTGAGGCTAAATATATCCCGTCATTCAGATATTATGTATAATCTGGTAATAAATATAAAGTGTTGCACATTCTATGAGTGCAGAAATTAGTTTATTTTGTAAAAAGTTTACAACTGCTTTTTAATCATTTAATTGTGCAGTCTGTTTAATATGTACCACTGAACAGACATTTAGTAGTCTGGGGATAGTTCACCAAAAAAATTACAAAAAAAAAATCCATACTATGGAGTCAATGGCTACCATCAACTGTTACCAACATTCTTCAAAATATCTATAGTAAATGATGACAGAATTTCTGGGTGAACTATCCCTTTCAGCACTACTCTGTAAGAACTTGACTTGCATTACAATGCTATGTTGTAAGTGTCTCCCATCAGGTAACCAAAAAGTTCTACTGTACACACACTTGAACACTTGGGCCAAATACAGGAAATGCATCATGTAAGTAGACCTGTTTTCAGGTGCAAAACCAGCAAGTGTGAAACTTGACAGGGACACAATGACCAGATTGGAGGTGTTGGTCAGAGCTGTAATGCAATACAAAAAAAGTCACACATTTGGATATAATTCTATTCGCAAAAAGCTTTGCCTGATCCATGCCTGGAAAAAGAGATTTTAGAAGACATAACATTAAGGTGTTGTTAAACATTACAGAACATTAAGAACTTGCATAAAGACGAAGAGAGTTTAAAAAACACTCACAAGCCTTGATATTCATCAGTCGATGACAAAACAAATGGCCATAAGACCAATTTATACAGAAATACATGGTAAATCCAAGGGTTCACATAGCTTTTACTCAACTGTAGCAATGAAATTGCATACATTTGTGTGATTGAGAATAAAAGAGAAACAAGAGAATCAGAGGCCTTCTCAGCTGAGCGCAACTAAGAGGCGTATTTTGGATGCTAGGCCTTTCCAAAAAAAATTTGCTGTGATTTAATGTTGTATCATTTTAGCCCACAAACCGAGGTTTTTATTGAATTTGGGATAATTGAAGGGGTGTATTATGAGAAACCCTCTCTCTCCAGCTGTTCCGAGTGCCAAGTAAAAGGCCGGGGCTCTCCAAGGGTTGAGGCCTGCCAGGACGCCCAAGGCCTCATCTGGTTTGTGTTGTCCCAGTAGCCCGGGGATGTTCGGTAAACAAACTTCATTTTTTATTCTTTCTATTCTAGAGATGCTCATGCCTCTAGTGCTGGGCTGTTTCCCAGGGGTACAGCGCTAACAATATGGCGGACGTGACTTTTGGCTGTACTCTGGTTGTGCTTTTCATGGCAAGAGAGCAAAAATCCTAGAGGAGACCAAAACAGCCAAGTTTTCATCAAAACACCACAGGACGAAACCAACTCAGCCTGCAAACTTGTGTTTGACGCACACAAAAGTGCTGATTTTAAATCTCAATTCAAGCATTCGATCTGTCCTCCCTTATTTTGTTAGCGTTACCTATTGAACATTGGGACACCTCCAAACATACTGACAAAATGGTTAAATGACAGAGGAATGCACTGGACATCAAAAATTAAAAAAAATTTGTAAAATATCAATATTTGAAAAATTCTGTTCACCAAATAAAAATAAGAAAAAATAAGAAAAAAATATATAATTAAAAAAAAATTAATTATATTCTATTTAAAATAAATAGATCATATTTTATTCATTTTAATATTAATATACCATTATACTTTAATATACTAAAAACTTTCCTCATGCATTTTAAACCTTTTTTTAAGATTTCTCCTTTGCTATTGACCCAAATACAAACAAATTCCAGTTCAAATTAAAGTTTTATGACAGTGTGTGTGTGTGTGTGTGTGTGTGTGTGTAGCTGAAAAGAAACAGCGAGACTGAGAGATAAGATGGAAATTGATCTCTGCTAGACTGTCTGTCTGCTCTTCACACAGACCTTTCCCAGAGGAACTGCAGAGAAAATCACAGACAGACAAAGACCTTGAGGGGAAACTCACTAGTAAACAGTCTACACAAAGACAAAAGCATCAGGCCTGAGGGTTTTACTGTTTATCAAAATATAAGTATGCTTCTTAGTGAAAAGCAGTGTTTAAACTGGAATAGTTCAGGCCCATCATGTTTTACATAAGGAACAGTTTCTCCAAATCTGGTGGTTATTTACTCATGTTGAAAACCTGTATGACTTTCTTTCTTCTGTAGAACACAAAAAGAGAATGGATAATGTACTGGTTGCTTTTTTTCAGGGAATTACAATGAATGCTTGAAAAAAACAAACAAACCATGATCTTAATTTGGATTCTTTTGGTACTAGTTATATTGTGTCTAAAATATGGAGTATTAAATTATTGATGATTGATTCAGTCTGTGGCTGATGTAAGAAAGATGACTAATTCTTATGCAAATATTACAATGACATTATCTCCTGTCGGCAGCACATCAGATACGGTGCAGTGTAATGACAAGACCACTCAGTATGCAAATAGATAGAAGAAAGAAGGCCATTCGAAATATGCAAATATTGCAATGATGCCACAGTTGACTATCAACGTAAACTCAAATGCACATTCAAAAGTATGCAGCCAGTGAGATTGTTTAAGGTTGCCGAAAGAAGTCTCTTCTGCTCACCAAGGTTCAATTGAATTATTTCAATACATTTTAAAATGCAATTTATTCCTGTAATGATGACAAAGTTGAATTTTCAGCATCATTACTCCAGTCTTTAGAGTTACATGGTCTTTCATAAATTATTCTAATATGATGATTTGGTGCTCAATAAACATTTCTTATTACTATCAATGTTGAAAACAATAGATTTTTTAACATCGTAAAAGTCCTTTCTGACACTTTTGATCTTTTAATGCATCCTTGCTGAATAAAAGTATTATTATTTTTATTTTACTTTATGCTTTTAGACTAGAGTGTAAGTCAAAGAAAGTTTTCAAACGTTCAAAATGTAAAAAAGAAAATCTAACACAAAAATTGCTTCGCCACTAGTGCTCAAAGCCCAATTAATTGCAGAAGAGCAAACCTCCGACCATAATACATAAGAGATATCAATAAAAATCACTGTACTTTATGTCGGAATCAAGTTATTGTGTATTATGACTCTGGCCTGAGATGCGTGTGTGCGTGTGGAGGTTTGGCAGCACATGTATGTGTCTTCAGAGGAACACTGTATTGCTCTTTTATAGAAACATAAAGATAACTCAATTATGTTAAATTTAGATAAAAACTTTGTCTTAGATGTTTCCAATAAAATTAATTAGGAAAAACAAATATGGGCTCAAATGAACCTATTATGTAGATAAGATAAAGAGCTCAAATAATTTGATTTTGGGAGATTTCAATACGAAATGTGACCCTGGACCACAAAACCAGTCATAAGGGTGAATTTTTTTAATTGAGATCATCTGAAAGCTGAATAAATAAGCTTTCCATAGGACAACATTTGGGCAAGATACAATTAGTTGAAAATCTGGAATCCGAGGGTGCAAAAAAAAAATCAAAATATTGAGGAAAATCACCCTTAAAGTTGTCCAAATGAAGTTCTTAGCTGTATATTACTAATCAAAAATTAAGTTTTGATATATTTACGGTAGGAAATGTACAAAATATTTTCATGGAACATGATCTTTACTTAATAATGATTTTTTTGGCATAAAAGAAAAATCTATAATTTTGGCCCATACAATGTATTTTAGGCTTTTACTACAAATATACCCATGCTACTTATGGCTGGTTTTGTGGTCCAGGGTCACAAATGTTGAGCTCATATTGAAAGCTATTACTTTTCATTACAAAAAAAATAAAAAGATGAGGGGCCTGACATTGAAAGAGATCTCATTTGTGGTTATTCAACAATTAATAAACTAATAAATTATTTAAAAATGCAAACAAATGTAGTTTTTACTGAATATACATCCATGTTCAAGAAATATCCAAATTTGTATGTTCTTATATTTTATTAAATTTTTTATGCATTTTATCTGCCCTGTAATGGCACTGTAATCACATTGCTGTCTAGGAGAATTTTGAGACAATGAGTAAAATTATTCATTTTAAAATTAGATTAATTTATATTTCATAAACATTAAAATAAAATAACCCTGTAAGCGTATTGCAATCATCACATTACTGTCTAGGAGAAACAATTGAGATATGAAAAAGACCACACTTGTGGTTATTCAACAATTGATGAACAAACTCATTCTGAAAATAAGATTCAAATAAAAGGGTCATTCAAAAAATAAAGTGAGAAAATCAATTCAGATATATATATATATCATCTAAATGCCCTATAAAGGTGTCACACATTTGAAATCACTGGCATGGAGCGGGACAGACTCAGATATGAGAGGTTTATAGCAAGCTAGTGTGATGCAGGGCTTAAATTCAATGGCCTGTCCCACTGTGGCGGCCTCATTTGTAATTTGCTGCGGTACAGCAGTCAATCCTTCCTCTTTTCTAAAAGCCGGAAGGGC